TACACACGTATAACACGTACACGCATATTATAACACGCATAACACGTGCATAAGCGTATGCTCAAACAGTTTATAACACGTACATACACGCATAAATGCATAAATGTACGCACTAACACGCATAATACATACGCATATAAACCTACAAAATTATTCATATTAAAATAACATACACATTCATATATTACGCACACACCTATGCACGTCATACCTATGCACGCACATACGTTTGAATACGTAGATATTTACGTGTGAGCGCATCATACGTTTAGATGTGTGGATTTTCATATATATATATATATATGGTCACACCCACAATCATTCACTACTGAAGTGGTTTTGTTTTTATTAATCAACCCATCAAATGACCGTAAAAGATGGTGGAAATGAAAAGTTAAAAAGAGGTTGTCAACTGTTTGTCACCAATGATTGCCGTTATTTCGTCCCTTCCGTCTATTTTCTTTTATTAATCGCTTAATTTATTGATTAAATAACTTATTTAACTATTCATAAAGTTTTTTTCCAATCATTCAATTTATTATTTATCCTATAATTTTACTCAATGATTAATTACTAATTAATGCTTATTAAATCATTTTTTTAATTACATTTTATCATCACTTTAATATTACTTATTATTACATTATTCCTATTTACTTAATCCATTTTTTACTTACCTTCTTTCCTTCTTTTTTTTGCTCTTTTTTATCAGCCAACTTTTTTTCAACTATCTACTACTCACAAAAATATTATCATCATTCTTTTCTCATTACTTATCATCACTTTCTACTTCCCGCTTCACTTCATCTTTGCTCATTTCGAGAAATTTTACATCTGCGAAACTGATCCTGTTTGCGAAATAATGAATCGAAATTCTCTTCCTTATCATCATCATCCTCATCATTAAATGCTAGAAAAATATTGCGACAGATATTGATAAGTCCAATTTTGTCCTATACCAATAATTATCGATTATAATTAATTCTTTTATCTTTTCAATTCCATTGTTACAGCTTTCTCCTCTCATCCAATTCATTAATATTCGTCATTTCATACAATTTAATCATTGCTGA